GTTGATTTTTGCACTATAACACTTTATAATTTATATTACTTGTTGTGATATTGATTACACTTTATTTAAAGCTTTTTACTTATCACCTTTTAGCGCTGCACATTTAGCACTTTATCAATTTGACCCTAGGGTCCATAGCGCAGCAGCTTTTATACTGTACCTACCCACAAGCGCAGATTTTAGAATTTTGTATAGTACTTTAGCCTGGCAGCAGTTTGAAATAGAAGCAGGCACCATCCTATGCCGGCAATATATTGTCAGCATTGGCTTACGTTTTGTAAACTTTACTAGTTACAGGTTAAAGGATTCCAATTAAGAAATATGCTGTAGAAATCTCCCAACATTGTATCTAATCCCAAAAACAGAAATTGAATACATTGCACCTTACCAGTCCTTGGAAGAGATGGCTGCTTTAGCTTTCTTTTTAGCACAAGTTTTCTTATTTTTGCCTTTACCGCCCATTTTATGCCCTGGGATGTCCATGCTCACTCACCCTTCTGTATCAGGACACTAGAAACAAGATAGGACCACAGAACCCTGTCCTTCTCCTATTGCCCATAACCTAGAGGGGCATAGGGGGGAATTTATCAAAACTGGAGCAAACAGAATCTGGAGCAGTTGCCCATGGCAACCAATCAGCATCTCTCTTCAGTTTGCTCAGGTAAGATTTGAAAATGAGAGCGCTCTGTAGTCCAGAGAGCTAAGAACAAAGTAACTGATGATAGTCAGCAGAGGAAGTTGTCCCCTCGCACATTTTTTTGGCAGGACCTGTATCATGGTCGTTGGGAGACATGTTTGTAAGATTTGTGCTTCTAACGATCAGAATGGAATGAATACTTCCTGTTCCTTTAGACCAACTATGTTTAGCTGCTCCCCTGCTACAGCTGTCAACTGGCCAGCCTTGTTGTCACACTAAGAAGATCAAACGTATATCTACACAAGGGATCCCAATGAAGCGGGGCTGTAAGAACGGCTTGCCCACTCGGTCAGTACACCTACAACCAATAACTGGAAGAGTAAGGCAAACAAAAGCCTTTCTCTGATATCAGTTTGGTTCTACGTCTATGAACTGGAGTGGGAGAAGTGTACACTGTGCACAATTCCATCAACACAAATTGTGCAAAGCACCATGCATATGCAGCAACAAAAACGATAATTTAAATATATTTCTCAATAGCCACAAAGGATATAAATCCACTTTGCGTGCAACACACTTGGTGTTCGTCTTTGCAAACTAATTTATTACTTGTAAAAGTAGATGTGACATCATCACTGTGCTGCACATAGCCTGTGCCGAGAACAGAGCTGTGGGGGGACCCCACAGGGGTGGGCAACTCTGGCCCTCCGGCTGTTGTGGAACCACAAGTCCCACGAGGCATTGCAAGACTGACAGTTACAGGCATGGCTCACAGAGGCATGTTGCAGTTTGTAGTTAAAGCACAGCTAGAGGGCCGGAGTGTGTCTGCCCCCCTTCCTCGCACTACATGCTGGAGCGGAGACAAGACCAGTCACCCTACACAAGGTGAGAGAGCAGTAGCGACCAGTCTTTATTACAGGAAGCTCCTGCACAGAGGCATATGTTCACAATGCACAGATCTGGAAGAATTACACAAAGCACACCAAAGATTCAGAAAAAAAATACCCATCATGCCTCTTGTATTCGGACAATATTTGCTGATCCTGGAGTTTAGCTTTAAGACCCAGCCAGATGGCAATGACTAGAACAGTGGCATACCAGAATTTGGCCGCATGTGTCACACTGGCTGTGGGAACCCTAGGCCATGAGCTATGCTGGTAGTGAAGCAATATGAACATAATACATGGACCTTATAATTATTTACACACAAGGAATGACAGATTTTGGAAACATTCATGGTACAGTATTACCCCCCCCC